TTAAAATAGTAAAGGACAAAATGTACGTATTCAAGGCTGTTGCCTTATGACAATATAATACCATGGATACACGTTTTTTGTCTTACTATTTTAAAATGCAATTTTCGGGTATACCTTAAAGATTCATATTATTTTTTCGTGTCAAAATAATGCTTACTTTGATATATTTTAAAATAAATAAATTCCAGTTTTAAAATAAAAATAGTTTATCTCCACGCGCTCTATAATTTAAACTTTATTGTTGTCAACATTCGATAAAGAAATACCTTGTTATGGCCTAGGCCGATAAAAATTTTTATGAGGCAAGTAATTAGTTCGATTTTTTCTCGCTAGGGGTATTGTTTTGACAAATTAATCCTTTTCTTAGAAATTAACGTACTAAACTGGTTTAATTTATTTATAATAAGCACTAATTTGTTTGTTTTACTGTTAATGTTTAATTTTTTTCATTAAATTATTGTAAAATTAAATATGAATAATAAAACCAAAAGTGAGGTTAGGCAACCAAGAAAACGCACGATTATTTTTCTACGATTTAAATTATCTTTAAGTTTTAATTTGATTTAAGTTTTCAGTGAAATTAAATGTTAAACATTCCAAACTACCTATTTTTTAAATAAAAATCCAAACAAATTGAAATTAGATACCTACCTATTTATTAAACAATTAATTGAATTCAATGTAATAGCAAAAATTCATTTATACTTAAATCATGTTGCTAGGTATTGTCAAACTATTACTGCTTCTAAAAGCAATAATAATTATTGTACATTCAATGTAATCTTTAGCTAATAAATAAATGAGATTCTAAAAAAGTGAGGTTAGGCCGCTTTGATGTTGAATTAAATTGAAATATATAAAGTGCTTTGAAGATAAAATGTTGTATGCCATTCGGCCAAGAAGTGCCTTTTTGTGCTTCGCTCAATTGTAAAAACTTTGAGCTTAGCACAAAAAGCCTTACTTCTTAACCTAATGACATAAATAACTATTATTTCAATAAAATATCACCAATCATAATAAATAATATTTTAAAAGAAAATTCTATACAATGCCATTAATTTCTCTGTGTAAATCCTTTTAATACCCTTGCTTTATCTTCTGGAAACAAGTAACCATCTCGATCCTCCATCCATTTAAGCCAAATAGATGCTAGATGTGATGAAAATCCATTAAAACCTCTACGTAAAACCATTCCAATCTTAATTATTCAGTAAAAAGCCCGTCATTGTCGCCTGTGTTCATTTAATTTTTAAGCGAGATCAAAAGCAAACGGGTTCTTAGACGTAATATCGAGCATGTTCTGCAAGTGAAAACAGAATAAAAAGGAAAATTTTACATCAAAAACATTATTTTAATATACTAAAGAAATCACCACCTTAAGTAGGTAAAATTTAACCGTGTTTATTTTTTCTACAAAGGGGAGATGTCTATATTAAATATAAGATAAGTCTATATTAAATATAAGATAACCATTTAATAATAAAATGATTTATTTTGGTTAGAATGTGACTAATTTGGTTATATTTATATTATAATATAAACTATCTGACAAAGTAAAGTACCTGTTTAAAAGATAAACTAATTATGAACGTATCTTTGAAGTTCTTTTAAATATTCGAACAAATGTATTTTTTCTTATTTTGGTATCATTTTTTAAATAGGTATAACAAAATATTTCCATTAAAATCGGTTATCATTTCAGTTTTTAAATATATTACTTATCGAACTTAAGCAATATTGTTCTTGAACAAACAATAGTAAATAATATATAATAAAAGCGAAGCCCCCACCGTTGAGGGTTATTACAATATAATACGACTAATAAACAATATTATTAAAGTTGATAGGATCTCCATTGTTGGCTATAATCTTTTGGCGACGTGTCATCTATGAAATTAAATTTTGGGTAGTAGTAATCGGTAGATACGTCTAGTCCTCGTTAATTTTATCAATCAAAGATTGTTTGTTTAAAAAGTTTGAGCTACGAATCCGACGATTACGCCGGCCACTGCAGAACTTGGTCTCGGTTTAGTTAAATTTAGATTGTCGAACTTTCATTGTCCTAATTTTATTGATTACACAAAGTTTCGATAAATATTATCTTTGCTCGTCTTCAGGTGTGAATGAGAGCCCAAGCGTAACCATCTGATTTTATAAGCGAGTAGCATATGTAAGGACAAGATCTTATTCACACCTGAATGTTAAAATAAAGCGTTTTTTAAATAAATCGCATTTCTACAAAAAGGCATGGAAATTTAAAAAAATGTTTACATGAAAAAATGTACATTAGACTGGGCCAAAAAAATCAACTATTTTATTTTTTGAAAAGTATATCGAAAATATGGTTTGGGGTGACAAAAAAAAATTATTGTGAAAGTTTGAGTCCATAATATTAATATTAAGAGGTCTATCATCGCAATTTTAATTTTTTTTTCCTCAGCAAGTTTTTGTCTCAGAACTCCCAAACCATTGAGTTTAACAAAATTGACTCGAAAATATTTTTTGAAGAAAATTGAATGCTCTACAAAAAAGGTTAAAGTGAAATTTTCCGTCAGATGAACCATTTCCTTAAAATCATGCCCTAAAAATTGGTATAGTTTTACATTTTGATCTCTTAAATTGGAATTTTGTAATTAATGTAAAAATCAGTACCCATAAAAAAACCATAAATATTCTTATGGGAAATTTCGTTTTGACTTTAAATTTAACCTTGAATAACTTTTGATTAAGTGAATTTATCCAAAAATGTTAAGAGGCTTTTTTTGTAAAGCATTTGATTTCCCATAAGAATATTTATCGTTTTTTTTCTGGGTACTGATTTTTATATGAAATACAAAATTTAAAGTTAAAAGTTAAAAGATCAAAATGTAAAACTACGAAAATTTCGTATTAACCTTTTTTGTAGAGCATTCAATTTTCTTCAAAAAATATTTTTGAGTCAATTTTGTTAAACTCAATGGTTTGGGAGTTCTGAGACAAAAACTTGCTGAGGAAAAAAAAAATTAAAATTGCGATGATAGACCTCTTAATATTAATATTATGGACTCAAACTTTCACAATAATTTTTTTTTTGTCACCCCAAACCATATTTTCGATATACTTTTCAAAAAATAAAATAGTTGATTTTTTTGGCCCAGTCTAATGTACATTTTTTCATGTAAACATTTTTTTAAATTTTCATGCCTTTTTGTAGAAATGCGATTTATTTAAAAAACGCTTTATTTTAACATTCAGGTGTGAATAAGATCTTGTCCTTACATATGCTACTCGCTTATAAAATCAGATGGTTACGCTTGGGCTCTCATTCCCACCTGAAGACGAGCAAAGATAATATTTATCGAAACTTTGTGTAATCAATAAAATTAGGACAATGAAAGTTCGACAATCTAAATTTAACTAAACCGAGTCCAAGTTCTGCAGTGGCCGGCGTAATCGTCGGATTCGTAGCTCAAACTTTTCAAACAAACAATCTTTGATTGATAAAATTAACGAGGACTAGACGTATCTACCGATTACTACTACCTAAAATTTAAAATTGCGATGATAGACCTCTTAATATTAATATTATGGACTCAAACTTTCACAATATTTTTTTTTGTCACCCCAAACCATATTTTCGATATACTTAAAAAAAAAATAGTTGATTTTTTTGGCCCAGTCTAATGTACATGACATTAGTACAAGCATATAAATTTATACGAGAATTGCTTTAAAAGTAAAAAAGATACAGGTATTTTAAAAAGTGGTTCTTAATTCGTTTTGAGTAGTTTATTTATATTTAATACAATTTTGGGGACAATGTTATTGATATTTTAAATTAAAGATACTTCAGGGACTTAATTGTTTTGTTTAGAATCAGCCTTACTTAAACTTTTGTCTTGGGCCAAATTCGTATGACTTCTACATCAGGCGCCTCGCAACGAAATATATTAGAATAAAACTCAACATCTATTTTAACATTCTGATTGGTGACATTGTGTAAAATTTGTTGACAATTTTAGTTGAATCCTGCTATATGCCGAAATCCGTACACATTAGGGTGCTTCAAAAAAAAGTTACTGCCTAACTGCCGAGGGGGCAAAATGGGGTACCCAAAAAATTTCTTTTTTAAATTGTTTTTTTCGGTTTCTAAATCATTTGAAAATATATTGACTCACAAGTTCACGCCTTTAATCGAAAATAATTATTCTGAGCCTGTAGAGCGAGAAAAATGAAGGTAAAAATTTGGAAAACTTTTCCATAGAACTTTTTTTTCGGATTGTATGCAAACTAGGGTGCTTAAAAAAATTCTTAGTTTTTTTCAACTCTTACTCTCCCAAATGTTTGTAATTGTTTTGCCCCCTTCTGCTAATTGTACCATAAAATTAAAAAAAAAACAAAAAATTTGATGTTAATCAAACTTTGACCTCGAATAACTCTACAAGAAATTTATCAAAAAATAATAAGAGACCTTTTTTGTAGAGCGTTACATTTTATATGCAATGACCATTGCCTTAAGTTACTTTGATACAGAGGTATAAAATTCCAAACATAAAATTATTTTTTCCCATGTTAATTAAATGGGAAACTAAAATAAAAACAGCGACCTCTTAGAGTTGATCTGGAATGCCATATATTTTGGTGAGGATTTTTTATATTAAATAGAAACATTTGAGAGGGTAAGAGCGAAAAAAAACCCCTAGTACACATTTTTGTATATGTGACGCGATCGAAAAGAAAATAGACCTACCATCCAAAAATCAAATTTTACAGGAGATGCGATTAAAATTAATAGCCATGTCAATTCCATCTGGCCTTTCGAAGGATCGTTTACCCCTCTACTTTAAATAATGATAATCTCAAAAATTATTTTTTGGACGCTAGGTCCGTTTTCTTGGATTGCGTCCAATATTTCATTTCAGCGTTTCAAAGTTATCGGGTACCTACTAATTTCCAAAATTCTTTCTATTCTTTTACTTCTTTAAAGTACATAATACCATATTTTATTTCTTGTTCTTCAGTATGCCCAAGAAAGTCAACACGAAAAGATTCTTCGTGGTCTGGCGGTCGGCATATCGTTTACGATGTACGGCCGCTTGGAAGAGGCGGATCCTCTGATCCAACAATTAACCGGCGACAAGGATCCGATCCTGAGGAGGTCGGGCATGTACACGCTGGCGATGGCTTACTGCGGTACCGGCCACAACCAGGCCATCAGAAAGCTTCTCCACGTTGCGGTAAGTAAAAAACACATTATAATAATCCAATCAACTTGTTCCCATATACTAAAAAGTGTGATTACTTCAAAAACAGTGTGCTCACACTGGATGCTTTGGAGGATCAACGTAGGCGCACCATTAATACAGGCAGTTTCGATTTGTTATTTAACCAAACTTCGATTCGATTTAAAATCTTTTTTTAATTCAATTTAACGATAATTTAAGATTTAATGTAAATGGCCAATTTAATTGTAAATAAAATAAAAATGCTGCTATTAAATGAGGCCTGTCAGAGCAAAGTCAACAATCTGCCAACAGACTAAACTGAGTAAATTGAGATAATTGTTTGTTGTTAGTCTAGTAGCCAACTACAAGGTCTCCAGGATGCATAGTATAGGTGAAATCTATAATTATAAATTGGAGATTGCTCATTTTGTTGTAAACGTTTAAGGAGGTTTAGAAAAATAATAAAACAGCAATATATTTATAATGGAAAACTTTGTAAAACACTTTATACAAAGAAGCAAGTAAGCCAAAATCTTTTAACGGTACCCTGTACATTCTAAACGCGTCTAGTAAATCTGCGAAAGATGCCCTGGGCATACAAAGTGCATTTTGTCCAATACACATAGACTATCAAAATGCGTTTTGTTCTTTTCAACGCCAGTGTTGCCATATCGGTTCAATATTATTACACCGTTGTAATCAGAAAAAAGCCCCTTTTAAATTCTGATATAAAAAGGGGGTTACGTATTTATTTTCTTAAATTTAATATTCCAAACTTTTGGGCCCCCCTGTATAAGAAAATGATGTATTTATTGAAAATGTAAAAGCAGAGAGAAATGATTACAAATAATTATAAATATTTAAGCAACCACTAGTAAGTGAACAAACAATCTGCAAAAAAATATCAGTATATTTTTGTTATACCTATCTGGAAACCACACAATAATAACTGTGCCCTGATTTCGAAATTAAATTATGTTTTTATTCTAAAAATGCAGAAGTTTCGGTTCTTTACTATTCTTCCAAATAGTATATACTTTGGTTTGGTTAGGTAAATTCGTATTGATCCCAGTGCATTCGCCATTTTTACAATTTTGTCAAAAATGGCGAATGGGCCGGGCTACTACACTATACTTGCATTCGTTATGGGCTATTTATTCCAGATTTTTTTATCCTGGAAAATTAACCCTTCGTTAGGCGCGCCACTTAGCGTAACGCGGATAGTCGCGATAGGTCCCGAGGACCTAAAGCCTAATAGTACATTGTATGTAATCAATCAATATGTAATTTATCGAAATATGATATAAAATAAGGTCATAAAAAACTTATTTGTGTACAAAGGTAATTATTTATTCAAAATACAACAAAGAGTAAAAAATTATTCTGTATCTACTTCTTTTTCTAAAGTTTTTTCAAAGCATTCCTGGCACAATTTTTTGGTATGTAGGCGCAGACATAAACATTTATTGCACTTCTCACATGAGTATTGACTTTTACACTGTTTTTTTGTTTCTTTGTAGCAAAATCCGCAATATTTTCTTTTGTTTCGAGGGGTTACAGATAGTCCTGCTTGCTCTTCTTCATCTTCGGCTGGTGGTGTCGCTTCAGGTTTATATTTTTCTAATAAAACTTGCAAAACTCTTGGTAAAATTTTAGATGTCGATCTTCTCTGTAGCTGGGGAGTAACTAATTCCAGCACTAACTTTTTCAAATAGTTTCGCCGAGATATATATTCCATTCCGTTTCCAAAGTAAATTATTCTGGAGTTAACTCCGGCTACATTCAACATGTGGTAAAATATTACCATTGGCCATCTTTTTGTGGATCGCGCTGTGTTGTAAGTAGCACATAATTGATCAACAACATCCACGCCTGATTTTGTTTTGTTATAAAACTCTATTATTTCTGGCTTTTTATTTATATTGTTTGATACCTCAGAACTAGATGTATGGTAGCTCGATAACAACACGACTGTTTTACCTTTTTTTTGGTACATATGACACCAATGTCTATTGTTTTGTGTATCCAAAAAGACTATCGTATTGGTTGCGATTTTTTGCCGAGATAAAGGAGATAGGTATTTCACGTCTATTTTTTCTGATAGTGCCCACATATGATATTTTTTTCTTCTCCAATTCCTTGATAAGTTTTAGGCTGGTAAACCAGTTATCGGCAGTTATATTCCTGCCGGTGTTAAATATTGGTTCGGATAATCTAAGTACTACACTATCTGCAGAATTATTGTGCCTGTAAGGTCCTTCTGGCTGCAGACCGCAATAAATTTCCATATTATAGGTAAAAAAAAGTTTTGCATCGCAGAGAGAAAAAATTTTTATTCCGTATTTACTGGGTTTTGAAGGGATGTATTGTCTAAATCCACAACGTCCCCGGAATGCTGGAAGCATCTCATCTATAGTAACATTTTCTCCAAGGCTATAGTGTGACTTGCAATTTTCAAGAAAAATATCAAATACTTCCCATACTGAAGCTAATTTATCTGTTTCTCTCCTCTGAGGCCTTGTAGTTTTATCATCAAAAAGGACACATCTGATGAGAAATCTAAATCTTTTTTCTGACATTGTCATACGAAATAAATCTATACCGAGTCCATCGGTTGACCAAAAATCAGCAAGAGTTTGGCGACCTCCCCGAAGAATCCCAGCCAAATATAAAAGCCCTAAAAATGCTTCAATTTCTATTCTGTCTGTTTCGCTACAGTCTCTTGTACGGCTGAATTGTTCTTTTATAGAATTTATATAAATGTTAGTTTTTTGTACTAGCAAAGTCAATATTCTGTCATCAAAAAATAGTCGCCAAGAATCTGCTTCGTTCTTGGCATTTTTTGCAGTTTGGCCAACGCCTGGTAATTTTACTAATATATTATGCGGAGGTGTTTGGGTAACTTTCAATGGGGTTTTTCTCCATTTGGTTCCATCCCGACTTATAACAATGAGAATGAATGTATGAAATTCCGCCCAAAGTTTTTACCATGGTTTTTGTATATGTGTTCTCTTTATGCAGACAGCAAACTACGTCATATGACGTCATTTTGACGTCATATGACGTCATAGCACGTCGTTTTGACGACATATGACGTTAATTTTAATATTCCTTTCATATAATTTTGTGTGAACTTACCACCATAAAAGTCTTCACTTTCCTCTTTATTTTCGGCTTCCTCTATATCTTCTGCCTCATTTTCATAATCCATGCCCGAGTCAACTGGCCTGGCCTCCAAGTTATCTTCCGTATCCGATTCATCCGACTCTTCAAAGTCTTCTTCAAGTAAAGCATTTTTATCGTCGTCAAAAGCAATACGATTGAGGTCATCAACATCTTGGGGGTTATTTAGGTCAAAAACTTTTTTATTCATTTTTTCCTAAAATTTTTTAATAAATACAAATAAAACTGTAATTTTTTCTTTTATTAGATTATCAAAAATTAAAATAGGGCAAATACTTACTGGTACAGATGAAATTTATACACACAATATTCACAGGAAACAAATAACGTTGAAAGAAGCAAGAAACAGTACACACTAGCAACATCAGAAATTTACTAACCCTAGCGGTCGCGCTGGATTCGCTTTATTTTAGATGTTATTCATACCGTGTGAATACCCGACTGACACCGAGTGAATTCCCGAAAAATTACAAAGATTATCAGTACGGCATTGACGGGCGCGCTAGGTCCAGCGGACTTACACATGTACCCGCTTCCTTTTAGGCCTGTATTCCCGGGGGATTTCGATAATTATCGGAGTGCGGCATTGGCAAACAATTGTAAATATATCAATTTAGGATGTCATTAAGACCCAGCACGATATCTCAATCTGATTTTTAAATAAAAGAAAAATACTATCGTATAGGTCCCCTGGACCTATGCGCGACTAACGAAGGGTTAAATAATGCCTTGTAGGCATTTTTAAATACAGGTTTTGACTAGGGCAAAGAGGCGGAGCTGTGTTGTTTAAAGTGTGTCATAAAAAAATAAAATTATAATGCCTACATATGGGAATACTATTAAAGATTGTTGCAGTTTAGTGCAAATTTTTCTGATGTTTGAAAAAGTTTGAATAAATCAGTGAACAAAAGTCGTGTAGAAATTTCACCAAAAGTTTTTCAATAAAAATAATACCGGGACCCAAACAAAACAAAAACATTATGTTCAGTTTAAATTTACACATTTTAATAATGTAGTTGTTTTTAATAAAATATTTTCATTTAAAAAGGAATATCACGAAGGTTCGGGCACGATATTTAGTTACAATAAAAAAACTTAAAAAAATTCGAGGTTACACAAGTTTATAAACCAAAGTTTTTGAAAATCTGTCTTTAAATAAAAACATTACAGAGGTGTCTACACTCAAAAGAAAACACACTGTATTACCTGGTAAAGATATTTCATAAACACTTTTTTATAAAGCCTCGATGATTCACAAAGTTCTTTGGCTCTCTTATTATCCGCATAAATTTATAACAAATCTGCATAAAGATGTCAACTTGTACCCACATCAAAAACATCCTTTGGAAAAGTTATTTAGATTTTTCTTTTACGGGCGCAAATCCGAAAAAAATCAATGAATACATGCCATCGGATCGTCAAGGGATTGGCGAAGAGGCTTCGAACTTTAATTAATGAAATAATTAGGCAAATTTATAAAAGTTTCAAACAAGATTTTTTTAAGGATCAAACAGCGAATTAATTCTAAAAACTGCGACCAATACTAAAGAGAGTAATTAATGACATTGAATAAAAAATAAACTCTTTTAGCTTAAAAAAATTAATAACTTTTATATTAAATAATATTAAATTTTATTTATATAGGTTAATATGAGATAAATAACACTAGCATTTGGAGTTTTAGCTGTGCAGGATTTATGTTCGTAGAGTTTACGTTTATGATAAATAATTCCAACATATATATTTTCAAGTTTTTGTTTGCCTCAGGCAACAACAGATCGAAGTGATTTTTGCATAAAGATAGTATTCCATATACTATACAGAGAGTA